GTATGTATGTACGTATGTATGTACGTATGTATGTACGTATGTATGTACGTATGTATGTATGTATGTATGGTTGGTCCTCCTCATCCTTGGAGAACATTTTTTTAAAAATAGGATTGCAAGTCACGAATGGTCTCAATGAAATTTTGATCGTAGAATTTTTGGCGGGGCTATTTCAACGTTAGTTTGAAACAGCTCCCGGTATTAGCTCGTTAAAGTTAGTCGTACAAACAGTTATTTTTGGGCAACTACGCACTGTGTGTTCGATTCTGCAGGTTCTCCTATTTAATTCTTGATACAAAATCACATCGAGACTTGCTAAAAGGACAAAAAAGAAACGAGGGGAAGAATGAAGGCTATGATGTCAGAGCAAAGCTTGGTGTTGCAAGTCCAATCACGTAGCAAGAAAAGGGAATATTTGATGTCTATGAGCATTTTTAGGGCGATGCGGAATAGTGATATTCGAACGGTGTCGTCGAAGAAACCTTTCTTCCAATCGTTCTAAGAAAGTACAAAACGTTGTCAGAAACAAAAGAAAACAATCCAACGGAGGCACGAGCCCGAAATGAATGTTGTTCTCAAGGTGCGTAACAGCCTACAGCGACTTCCGTGCGCCGCAAAAGCTGTGTCGTGTTTCACGTGTGGCACAGATACGACGCTGTCGAGTGATAGCTGCGCGGAGATCCGAACCGGTCRCGTAATAGATGCCTCGTTTTGCATGGACCTTCCGAACAAATCTGTGACGGCTACCCAACTATACTATGATCGAGTCGCGTCGGAGTCCGACTGCTACAGCATTTCCAATCCATCCTATTGCCCCTATGATGGCGAAGACGAAAGGGAAGATCACAACAACAACGACAACGATAGCCTTGCTACCCAAGCATCAAGGACTAAATCCGGCCTGCAAAAATCCAAGCATGAGTTGTCAGGCATATTTGAATATCCCGGCAATTCTTTCATGGATGATTCATCCTACGAAACATTCTCGCCATACGGCATCCCCGACGATGATACCCGCAGCGACGCAGAAAATAGCACCCGCGCTCTCCCAGACAACATCAACAAAAACAATACTTGCGACAAACCCGAGATGCCAGAAACCTATCGCAACGATCGTCGTGACATGACCTTCAATAAAATTGGATTAGGTATAGTTGGCCTTGTGACGGATGTGGTCACAAGCAAAGCGTCCCGGACCGCCGGTGGCGCAGGTGGTGGGGCATCGCGTGCAAGGACCATTCCCACAGGCAGGATGAACACGAGCAGCGGCTTCAGGAGCAACATAAACGATTGGAACGGTCCTTCACAAATAATAGAGTCTCGCGAGGGCAGTGGCCTTGCAAAGAAGAAAAACTGCGACGGTAGCGGCGAATCACAAACCAGGGAGCTTCCTTCCTTTGGAAAGAGCCGCGAGTTCCGGAGTTTTGGATCCAACAGAAGCCAGAGAAGCAGCCTCGATGACGGTTCTCTTTATTCTCTGAAACCAACCTTCGTCACGGACGACGAGAGCCTGCTCGGGCAAAGCATGCAATACAGTTACATCACACCCACGCGATCGGCGGAGGAAACGGAAATGGAAACGGCCTCCGCCGAGAGGGCAGAGTTTTCTAGCATCTACCAATCAGCGATCTTCTTCGACGGCAGCCACGGATTGCGAAGCCGCGATTCCTCCTTTGATGCCGCCGAGTATCCCACCACCACAATTGCATCGAAACCACGAGACCGAGAGGGAGCTCCCTCGTCGGTGCGCCCTCGTGGATTCAAGGGCAAGCGTCCCCCGTTTCCATTCCTCGATAATGCCGGGACCGTCCCGGGGGTCTCAAAGCAACAACACCTCCGATTGGTTCCTCCTTGAGTTTCGGTGCGTCATTCCTGGCCTCTCCTGCAAACCCATCTTTTAAGCCTGCCTGCTCGCACACCAAAGCGTGTTGGTGTCCGTCGTACGGCAATTTATATTTTTCAAACACCAAAGCGTGTTGGTGTCTCATGTATTATATTGTAATATACGTAACTAAAGCTGTTTTAAGAAGTAAAAAGCTTTTATGGTTGCGATCCACTTTCGCAACCTCGAATTAGACTAATTCGAGATTTTTTTCACGCTTGAGCCCGCACAAAAACACAAACTTGTATCAACACTATAACTCCGCAGTTGCATTCGATGCGATGGCTGGGTTTTCCTCTGTCTGCTGCGGATACGCAAAGCGAGCATTCCGTGTTTCGGCGCGTTTGGGATTGCTGTGCTCGCTCATCACACGGGAACCTAAAAATAATTGCACGGTGTTCTTAGATATGTTACTAGGCAACAATTTGATGCATATTACGTAGTCTACAGTTGAACTTTGACTGTGTTATGGCACAACGAGGCTCTTCCCGCTCTCCCGCTGGTAGCTCTCGGCCCCTTTCGCATACCGCTTCATGCCCTTCTCGTTCAGCAGGCACGCGTCGAGGGCCTCCGTGATCTGTCCCCGGTCGATGTTCGCCCCGATAAAGACGAGCTCCTGGCGCCGGTCGCCCCATTCCTCGGTGACAAACTCCTCGGTCCGGATGCGGTTGTATTCCTCCCGGTCGTTCGCGAAATACTCCTTCATCTCCTCTTCGACGAGGGTTCCCCACCACTTGCCGGCCACCGAGATCCCAAAGTGCTTCCCGGCGTGGCTCCAGTACATGGCCGAATCGTGGCGCCAGGGATCTCCGGTCCCGTCGGTGGCCCAGTTGGTGGGGGCCATCCAGCAAAAGCCCTTCGACCGGAGGACCCCGAAAAAGGGAGACGTCCGGCCAACGTCCTCGCCCCCGTCGGCGGCAGCGGATTCGGGCGAAAAGTGCTCGAGGCCGCCGAGGTCTTCCTTCACGGGGATCGGCCACGTGTTGAGAAGGCCCATCAGCTTGGGAGCGTCAAAGGGCCGGTCGGCCTTGTAGACAAAGCTGACGATCCCGAGGTCGTCTGTGGACACGGTGGCACGGGGCTGCTTGGCCTCCTCCTCCTCCTGTTGTTTCTTCTTGGCAAGATTGCTGGGACAGCTAGGATTGCTGCAGCAGCCCGATTGGCTCGGTGCTTCCTCCTTTGTTGTTTCGCTCGCCTCCTCCCGGACGATCTGTTTCGGGGAAGCCACCCTGCCAAAGGCGATTTCTTCCACGACGGCCTTCTTGTTGATGGATTTCGCGAGGGCCGCCGCCACTTCCACCTGGTCGGGTCCCGCGAGGTCGATCTTGTTGAGGAGGAGGACGTCGGCCGCCTCTACCTGCTCGGCCAGGAGCTCCGGGACCTTGCGTTGAACGGCGCAGGTGTCGCCCTGCTCGGTCCACCCGTCACGCTCCCCGGCGACGTCCCTAGCATCCAGAGCCGAAACCGAGAGGCGCGGTTTCGATTCGATTCGATTCGATTGGTTTCGTTTCATGGAATGGATCGCCACCAGAAAAAACGACACAAAGCAACGCAACACCAACGAGAGGTGCGCGACACACAAAAAGAAACAGCAAATACAATAAAAGGTGAGAGACCAAGCAGCGATGCATGGATTCTCGGCAATCGGGAAACGGCGCTCTACTAATACATTGTGTGTCACGTGTACACGGATCATCCATCAGACAAAGATGTACAAATAGATGCACAAACACACAAAATCGCATCCTTCTTTTTCTTGTCCTTGTTGCCTGTCGCTATTGTCTCGCACTGTATTGTCTTACCAGGTCATCCAGTCCGTTCCAAAGGTGCTCGAATCGACGAGGGTGACGACGCGCTTCATGTCCGCCTTTCGCGTCACGGGGTGCCCGTTTGCCTTTGCGGCCTTCCAGTTTTGCTGAATGGCAATCGGTTCCGCCACCCCGCTCAGCTCGACCACCAGGGCGTCAAATGCACCGTCGTTGTTGTTGTTGTTGTTGTTGCGGCTTTCCAGTAGGTTGTCCACCGTCGTGAGCAACTCGTCGGCCAGCGAACAGCAGGCGCAGCCGTTCTGGAGCTCGACGATGGAGGTTTCTTCCCCCGGCTTGTTGCTCTTGCTCTTGTTGTTTCCCTTGCCCTTGCCCTCGGTGTCCTTGACCAGACTGGCGTCGATGTTGACCGAGGCCATGTCGTTGACAATCACCCCGATTCGCAGGCCGTCGCGGTTTTCCAGGAGGTGCTGGAGCGTGGTGGTCTTCCCGGCTCCGAGAAAGCCGCTCAGGAGGGTAATGGGAACGGGAGCGTCGGCGTCGACGTCGATGGAATTTGCCGAGGCAAAGAGCCTCGTGCTCGCAGCGCTCCGCCCATTGGAGAAAGCAGAAATGGAACCAGCACGAACACCAGCACTAGCTGCCAGCGAGAGGGACCTGCCCGTCCGGGCCCTCGTGGCAAAGGCGGCCGCTAGGCAGGAAAAGCACGCCATGGCGGCGGTGGCTGCTAAGAAGGCGAGTTGTAGAACYGATGGCGTTCCCCTCCTGCTTCGAAGGATCATCGCGGGGAGAATTGGAAATAAGAGGAGGAAAGGGAAGGGAAGGAGACGACTGTTGGAACGAAGCGAAGGAACACGCGGCGTGGGTCCGGATCGGATCGGATCGGATCGGATTCGAAAGAATGGGATCAATTGTTTGTGGGCAAAGCACGGTTATGGCACTGCTGCTTGGCTAGGTGTGCAATGGTGAAAGATGATTGCGAGTACAGTTCGGTACCGGTACTCGTACTTCTAACTCGTATGCTGAAAGAGAACTGATCGTTTTCTTTCTTCTATTTTGTGTGCGGACGACAAGGTTTCACATCCTGTACTTGTACCGTGCCGTGCCCGTGTCGTACGACGCCGTACACGATGTTTCGGTTTCGGTTTTTGGATGGTTATTTACCGTACGTACGGTACGTACGTCTGAGGCGAAATCACGAGTAGATAAATGATAGATACAGTAATAGATAGTGAGTGAAGAGTGAACTAGCTAGATTGAAAGGTACTATATCGCCGTACAAGTACATACATACGAAACATATGATACATATTACTCCTACCAGCTATCGCCTGCGAGGGATCGGAGATTGGAGATGGCAAGGCCCTGATTTGAAAAGGGGTCTAAATTAGGGGTCAGCAACGAAACGGTATTTGGTATTTGACCATGCAACGATGCGGTCAAAATTTCTTAGTGTTGAATAACGTAATGTTTTGTGTAAAGCGTTGCATTCCTAAAAACAAACCAAAATGTTGTGCGAGAAAAACATTAGTGTGAAAAAAGCTAAATAGGAGGCATCCTAACCATMTGCTTCAGCCATCTCAATCTCTGCCAAATTAAGCTGGTGGTGGTGCTTCTCGTCCTCAACAAAGCACTCCCAGTGTTTAGTAGATACAAGAAAGACGAAGAAGCAATGCTTTTCCTGCATACTCTGGACCACCCAAGCCAGAGCGCCTTGCTGAGAGGAGTCTGCTGGAAGCATGGCTACAGGAAGATAGATCTTCACCACCCTTGCAAGAATTGGATAATTTGCCTGGTGCTTTTTCCACCACTGGTGGAGTGGATCATTGTTTAGTAGTACTGTCTTACTTCCAATTGTCTTGACTAAGGAGGCCAAGTGCTCAGAACACATGCAAAGCTCAAGTTTGCATCTACAAGTATGATCAATATTGACATCATCTAATRCACCATTGATAAGTTGATAGCAGTTAACCTCTTCAGCTTTTGCCTCTTCCTCTTCCTCCATCAGCTCAAACATGTTCATGTCAGCATCATCAACACCAGCAGTATCAACACCAGTGTCTCCTTGTTCATCAACTTGTTCCATGGTGATGTTACTAGTTGCCTCCAAGGCAGCTAATTCCTCAGCTTCAAGTCTCTTGGACTAAGACTCTTTCATCAGTTCCAGTACTTTGCTGCAAATATCTTCTTTGCTTTTTTCTTTGGTGCAAACATCTTTTCTTGTTTTTATCATCTTCTCCAATAGATACCAGCACCAAGCTCTTGGTTCTTGAGTCAAGGAAGGTAGCAATTGTCAGAATTGGGTGGATCCCTTCCTGTCTGTTTCTCTTGCCACAATTTGGTGCGAGTCCTTGCAATAATTCATAAACTGCAGCATCATTATTTTTCCAACAGATGTTGAAGTCATCCAAGAGATTTCCAGCCAGTTTGCCTCCAGCACTAGTATCACCATTMTTTTTCAATTTTTTGAGTTTCTCTCAAATGGTTACTCTGGGAATAGCAGGAGAACATAACTTTAATAAACAATACATGCCTTTGTATGACCAATTATATCAGCCACAAATATGTATTAGGGAGGCTCTCAAGTGGTGTGATTTATGTTAGGAACAGTGGGGGTCGTAAACGTTTGTAAAAATGTAAAAATGCAAGACTGAACACATAGTAGTAAGATCAAAGATCCTGCCATTCTTCAAAAAACTCAGTTAGGTGAGGATGACAAGGGGTGGTGGCCAGAATATAACAATGCAGCAAGATGGGGAATCTGCAATCTATGTGGTGCAAAACTGCAGGTAAAGACACGCAAGAATGGTTGGAGTAATGGTTGTTTGGTCAGTCAMATGAATAGAACACACAAGATTGTCCCACCCAAGGGCACCTAGAAAGGAGGAGCCTCCGCACACCTTAMTACCACAGTGCAACAGTCAATCAAAAGATATCATGGAAAAGCATCTCTGTCAATGCAAGAAAAGCATAAGAAGGCAGTGTTCAGTATGGTGAACCTACTACCCTTTTAAAAAATCTTCATATTATATTTTACCTCGTGAACTATAAGAGGCACTATATGGCCAGAACCATAGCTTTTGGTGGAAAGCATGCTTCTAGTTGCGCTGAGGGGCAGCACCTCCCTCCGAGGAATGTTGGTGGAGGTGTGACCAACGTAACCTACCCTTTACTTTTGTCAAATGGAAGGAGTTCAGAGCTGTCTGTACAAATCTTTCTTTGTGTGCAAATCATTTTCTTTCTCAGAGCTTTAAAGTGATATTGTACAAGAAAAGAGTGATGGGATCTGTACCTTTGCTATGAAGCTCATGGATGGACAGGATGTTTGTGTTACACTGGACCACTGGACTACAAAATCAGTTTAGAATTATTGTGGCATGGCTGCTCATTGGATTGACCAAAATTTTGACTTCCATTATGTTCCACTGGGAATGTTCCTTTATCAAGGAAGTGCAACAGCGGACAAGATGATGGAGATGTTATGCCAACGCAAATTCGAAATTCAGCTTCGAAAGGATAGAAGGTGTTCCGCAACTTTTTCGAATGTATCATTACTACAGGGTGCGTCGCTTCTGTCTATGCTATCCTTGCATTCATCAGTGGCAAAGAGACGCCATCAACGACGTTGAAGGGAGGATCTGTCAAACTTGAGTTATTAATTTTTGAAGTGCTGCTGTCTTTTTTACTCCTGGTGAAGTTTTTTATATGGCTATAGTATTTCAAGAAGCAAACCAACATCGAGTGTGTTTGAGGATTGGATAGAATTGGTCTACAGCTCGTCTCGCTCCCCACCACTGCCGTCGCTGCATTGCTTGACGGGGCTGACGCGCTTCAGGATCTTTTCCCATTCCTCGACGGCCTCGTACCGGCCAAAGAGGGTCGGGACGGCCTCCAAAATGCTGGACTCGACGGACTTGCGGAGGGAACGGTTGGTCCCGAGTTCCACCGCCTTGGAAATGTAATCCTCCTTGGAATCCGCCACCAGGCGGTTCCTCGCATCCTCGTCCAGCCCGATGGTGTGGTACAGTCCCAGGGTCCACCGTCCCCCCAGCAGGCGGGCCGGCCACGTCACGACGGCCTTGCCCAGCTCCAGGGCCTCTCGGGTCGTCGTGCAGCCCCCGGCGGGGTACGAATCGATGATGACGCTGGCCGTATCGTACAGCGCCAGGAGCTTGTGTGGGGGCTGGGTAGGGAGGAAGTGAACCCGGTCCATGTCGCACCCGGCGGCCCTCATGCGCTTTTCGAATATACCCGTGTTGCCCTTCATATCCTCCTTGTGGAGGACGGCGTGGCCCATCGGGTCTTTCTGTAGAATCCCGCACACGAGCTCGTCGAATTCCGGAAAGAGCTTGAAGGGTTTCTGCATGCACACGTACAGATGGATGTCGTCGTCCTCGGGGGTGCTGTTTTGGATGGCGTCCGAGAACTCGGGATAGTCCTTTCTGGTATAGTGGTCGAAGGGCATCTGCGTCATGCGGCTGATGCGCTTTCCCTTGGGCCCCGTCTCGACCCGCGGTGTATAGTACTGGTGGATCTTCCCCTTGGGAATGAGCTGCAGTTCCTCCGTATAGTGGGTTTGGCTCTGCTCCAGGGGAAGTTCCGCCTCGGCCCAGCTGACAAAGTGCTGGACAATTTCCCGGGGGTGGCCGGAGGTCACGGGGTGGCCGTGGCTGTTGATCTGAACCGGAGCCAGCCGTTCCATGCCCAGCCGTCGCACAATGGACGACATGGTCAGCTCCGGATAGAAGATCATGTCGAATTTGAGTTCCTCGATATCCTTCCCGATGCGCCGGGGCCAGGCGCCGTCGCGATTGTCTGTCCCATCCAGCTTTTGGTAGTGGATTAGCTTGTCCTCCGGGTTGGCCGTAACGAAATCGTCTTCGTCCCCGGGGTCCGATTTTTCGTGAATGTAGACGAACGTGACGTCAAAAACGTTGCGGTCGAGGCGCTGGATGACTCCCCCAAAGTCTTCCGCGACCGAGTGGCCACGGCTGAGGGTCGCGCTGACAATGCCGAGCTTGATTTTCCCGTCGATGCACTTTTGGGAGGGAAGGCCGCCGTTTGTGTCCCTGGATGCCAGCTTTTGCTCCTCTTCGTACTTCCGGACGTGCTCGGCGGTGTGGAGGAGCTTGGGCCAGACCCTGACCCCCACCTCGAAGTTGAGGTTGGCGAGCTTGGCCACATCGGCGCGGTACATGAAACTAAGGGGGAACAGGGTCAGCATGCAGTGGACGTACGGGTCCCCGGCAAAGCCGAGGACGTTTTGGGACATAAATTCCTCGTCGAGTTGGGCGTTGGGGTGCTTCTTGTCGAAGATGTCGAGGAGCTTCTTGGACCACTCCTCCATGTGCGCGGCGGACTCGTCGACTTCCTCGTTCGTCAGGGGATACGAATTCAGCATCGTCGCCAGGTGTACCTGGGTGCACATCTCGGCGATGTCCATTTCTCCCGACATTTGCCTGGACAGGAAGTACGCCATGTTTGCGAAGAAGTTTTTAGCCTCGTGGTTRTGCCATTCCTGATGGTAGCGGGTCAGAAAATTCGAGGCGATGAATCCCTGCACCGGGTTCTGCATCCCCAATGCCGTGTCGACCTGGTTTGCATCGAAGGAGGACATCAAGAGCTCAACGCCGCTTTCCATTCCCCGGTACATCATAAGGAACTGGGCCATCAGGTACCGAGCCGAGGCATCGCGGGGATTGTCCTGCATATCCTTGGCAAGTCTAGCGAAGATTTGTTCCTTGGATTCCCCCTGACCGATGCATCCCGGAACAAGCGAGGCCAGCACCACGCAACAGAGCACCAGCAGCGACTTCCACGCCGCCATCGATCCCGTGTTTTTGGTTTGCCTCCGTCGTGACATTCTTTTTGTTGAACAGTTCGTGATCCCGATGCTTGATCGATGGAGTTGCACTTTTTATGACTTTGTCGTTGGATTGCGAGGCTTTGTTTGAAATAAGGAGCAGCGAAAACCAGGAAGAACACAAATGCTGTCAATTGTGGATTGTCGGTGGTCGATTGCCGATTGCCGATTGCCGATTGTTTCGCCTTCCGATTTGTCCTACTCGTGTCAGCAACAAAGCCGTCAGAATTTTCGCCATCCATGTAATTTACTGATTACTGATTTTTATTTTACGGTACAAGTACGACGAGCATTTGTTCATCTTAGCATAGGTTACTACTTACTTCTACTCAGGGGTCATAAAATTTAAGACCCCTGCTTCTACTACCGTACTGAGAAAGTACGATTAGTACAGTACTTTACGGCCAGCCTTCGCGTAATTCCCAAAAACAAAAAAGAWTACCGGTGATGAGAGTGCAGAGTGGAGTCTCGGACATCGAGTTTTCCTGCAAGTTAGTGGAAGCAAGGGTCATGATCATAATTATGACCCATCCATGTAGGATCATACTTTTCATATGCTACTAAAATTAGTACTCATAACTCATACCGTCCCGTACGACGCGAAACTCTTTTTGGTTTCTAGACGAAGTTCGTAGTACGATTAAACGATTACGTAGTACATCGTACTTTACGTACGAGCCAGAGAATACTTCTAGTAGTACTGTACAGTACGTATTATGGTACGTACCGAACTGTGCTAACGAACAACGAAGTGCACAGTTAGTTCACCGAGTTCTTTTTCTTGTACCGTACGGTACCTCGTACGGTACGGTACATTTTCGTCTCATTGAATCTGCTCCCTGACGTTCGATTGTTGACAACTGACACCTGCTGCTACGGTACGAGTACCATACCTCTTGCGGTCGCTCTTCCACTCCACCCTGTTCTTCCCGCCACCACCCGGAACGAGACGAGCCATGGCATCGCCTTCGTACACCACCAACAACCTCGAATGGGCCCTGCGCGTCTGCGAGTCCGTCGCCTTTGGCATCCACGGCCTCCTGGGGCTGACGGAACCCTGGACGGGGTGCCTCCGGACCGCCTTTGGGGACGAGCACCGCGCGGTGCCGGTCTGGTTCTGGCCCGCCGCCGGGGCGATGCTGTGGACGGTCGCCGCCTGCAACTTTTCGCCGAGCGGGGCCGTCGTCCTGGCGGCACAGGCCTACATCGCGGCCTTTCACACCGGCGCCTACTTTTACCATTCCGCGCTCGGGCACCACCCCGCCGCGGGCCTCGTGCCCACCCTCTTTGCGGTCCTGGCCACGGTCGTTGTTGGGATCCGGACGGGGTCCTTTGGGCTGGCCCTCCTGGGGTTGGTGGCCTGCACCGGGATTGCCTACCTCCTGAGCAAGGTCCTGGTYAYGCCGCCCCCGTCTCTTCGGGACGACGACGGTTCGGGGCTCCGRTGGAACCTGATGGAGGACGAGAGGGCTGCCACCACCACCAACCGGTCGTACCAGGCATCGTAAGACGATCGAACTGCCGCCGTCTTTCGTCGAGAAAACGGGAAGGGACGAACCGATCAATGTAAATATGTATGTATGTGTGTGTACATGAATGGGCATATGTATGTATGTTTGTATGTATGTGTTTGAAGGAACGTGTGCAAGTCCAGACAGTCAGTGACAGCTATTCCTCGACTCGATGCAATTCTCCGTGCTACCAACCACTGGTGGATGATTCGTAGAAGGATTGAGGCGTGCTATTGGAATGTCGATACCTGTTCAAAGTGGCTAGTACCGCCGCCTCACGAATGGTTGCGATGCCATGACATGCCAAATGAAACGAAACGAAACACGAAACGAAGGAAACGAAACGAAACGAGCACRCACTTCCTGGTTTTGGAGACAAGATGCTGTTGCTGCAGGCAATGCACGACTGTAACTACAAGTTTCACCGGGAGTGAGCCATGGGTACTTACTGCCTGTTAGCTGTGATTGCAAACCGTGCTTCTCTTTGTCGGACAAGCTTGTGAACATAACGTTGCTAGTAGCACGATCGTCTATACTGTACTGTACTGCACTGCACTGCACTCTACTGTATTGTTATTTCTTGACGTGTGTCGGGTAGCGATCTCGTGTGCTAGTTAGTAGTTAGATGCTACACGCTGTCGTTTTTTTCGGGGAGGGGCCAATGCGGTCGACTGCTAGGTATCAGTGGATCGGAACGGAACGGAGACGTGCTCATCAATGGTAGTATTACTACTTTAATTCCCTATTACCGAAACGATGGAAACAAAGCATGATACCGTCGTCTCGTTGACTGTGACTCGTGAATTGTAAGTCTTGGATCTGTAGATACCCTTCCTACAGTATGTACATACGTACGTATGTACACCCTTCTAGTCGGTGTACGGTACCAGGTACCGGAAAGAAAGACGATCCCATCATCTCCTCTCCTGTCCAACTTGACTGAAACACCTGACTGACTCACTTTTGAGTGCTTTCGAGTGAGAACTCGTTTGTGTAGGTACGTACGTACGTCCTGTACCAGGTACTTGTACYTGAAACAGAAGTTTTTGGTTTTGGAGTTTTTTGGGTGAAAACTGAAAACTGTCACCGAAAGTTGATAGTACGATATATGTATGGGTAGTGCCCTACCCTATGAGTCGTTCATACCYAGACAGRTATGTTCATACCCCCATGAGTACGTTCATACCCAGACAGRTATGTTCATACCCMCATGAGTACGTTCATACCAAGACAGATATGTTCATAACGTACGTACTGCTTTGAGCTTTGAGACCTGCTTCCAAAAAGAATCCATGCGCGATAGCATCTGTGTCAAAAGGTTTTCAGAAGTTTCTTGCCATATGCCCTTGCTGGCGGCGGTCGATCCCAAACGCACATGAAACCGACATCCCATGCGGTACCAAAAAGACTTCTGAGGAAGACTTSGTACCTCGTACACGGGTCCAGTACGAAGTACGACCTAGTGCGTACGAACGCTACAGTAGTACTGTACAGTATGATGGATAATGAACAACAACGAACCACAGTAAAGTCCAAATTCAATCTCGACAGATAAATCATTGAAGCAATACATTACCTGACGACGAAATGCTTCTAAGAAACAAAAATCTGCAATACTGCACGTACAAACACTAATCTACGGGATATCCGGGCCCGGAGTGCAGTGTTACACCAGTGTTACTTCAGTGTCATATCATACAGCACCGCATCATTGCATTGTGTTCGCGTTGCGATTGCGATTGCGGTTGCGAGCTCGCATCTAACACTGTCGCAGAGTTCCAGTTGCATCGCTGTCTTTGATTCTTCTTGCAATACGCTATACGCAATACGCTATACGCAATACGCTATACGCAATACGCAATACGCAATACAACGCAACACTATCAACGCAACGTTACCAACCCGGCAAAGCACGCACACGCACGCGCACACGCACCATGAGCAGCGAATCCACGAAATCGCAGGAGGAACGAGACGCCGCCCAAAAAAGGAGACGATCCACCAAAAAGAAGCGACAATCCAGATCGTACGATGCAACTGTTGCAGCAAATGCAAATGCAAACCCAAACACAAACACAAACACAACCATAGACAGCGGATCTGCGGAATCCTCCATTGCTTCCTCTTCGCATCACCGCAGCAACAGCAGCAGCAACAACAACAACAACGTGTTGCACAACGATCCACGACCGACTTCTCCGAAGCAGAAATCGAAGCGATCCCTCAAAAAGGGAAAGAAGGGCAGGCCCGCGAAAAAGGAGGGCATCCCCCTCAAGTCGAGGGGAAGCATGGAACGGAACACTTCGTCCGACAACGACAGCGACAGCGACGCGGCAGCGATGCCCGAGGAAGACGAACACGACGATTACAAAGACGAACACGACGATTACAAAGACGATTACGAACCCGAAGACGAACGCGAACGCCAAGAAGATTTTTCGGTAGCCCCCAGCGGTGACGCCGCGGTCAAGAACGTCGTCACCAAGAAATTCGACGACGTCTACCAGCGCGGCCGCAAGCTCGGCCTGGGAGCCTTTGCGGTGGTCTTCATCGGAACCCACCGGCCCACGGGGGCCGAGTACGCCGTCAAGCAGATCGACCGGTCGACGATGTTCTGGGGAGACCGGGACGCCCTCCAGGACGAGATCGACAACCTCAAAATGGCCCGGGCCGGTCCCAACATCGTTCAGCTCTACGAGGTATACGAGGAAAAGGCCTTTTGCTACCTGGTCATGGAGGTCATGGAGGGCGGGGAACTCCTGGAGCGGATCATCGAAAAAAAGACGCCCTTCACGGAACAGGAGGCCCGGTCGGCCATCCGCTGCGTCCTCAGAGCCCTGGCCTTCCTGCACGGCAACCGGGTGGCCCACCGGGACATCAAGCCGGAGAACCTGCTGCTCAGCGATCCCTACCACAAGGACCTCAACTCGCTCAAGCTGGCCGATTTTTCCTTTGCCCGCCTGGTTCGCAGGCGCAACGACTGCCGGACGCTCTGCGGGACCCCGGGMTACCTCAGCCCGGAGATGCTCGAGCGGTTCCCGGCCTACGACGTCAAGTGCGACGTCTGGAGCGTCGGGTGCCTCCTCTTCTTGCTCCTGGCGGGACACCTGCCCTTCGACGACGAGGACGACGACATCGTCTTCGACCTCACCCGGGACGGACGCTTCGAGTTCCTCCCCGAGTGCTGGAATTCCGTCAGCCGGTCCGCCAAGGAACTGGTGACCAAAATGCTGACGGTCAATCCCAAGAAGCGCTRCTCGGCATCGAGGGCCCTGCAGAGCCACTGGATCGAGCACCCCGACGAGGAGTTCGAGCAGAAGCAGCTCAAGCGGCAGCACCGGAGGAACCTCCTGGAGGGGAAGCGCAAGCTCAAAACGGCCATCAACACCATCATTACGGCCAACCGGGTCACCAAGCTCAACAAGGATTTCAAGGACTACATCGAGCGGCGAAAAGAAGAGAACCACATATCGAACAAGCTCGCAAAAACAAAAAACACCACCGGCGACAAGAAGGAAAAGAGGGCCAACTACGCCAAGCGAAAGAACGACTTTGTCGAGGACAGCCTCACCGGAAAGCCCTTTGAAGATTTCTACGAGATCGGGGACGAGCTGGGCGAGGGCGGATACGCCTTTGTCTACCGGTGCAACCACAAGACCACCCGGAAGGTCTACGCCGTCAAGGAGGTCATCATCTCCAAGATGGAGAGCGGGGGCGAAAACACCCTCAAGGACGAGATCGCCGCCCTCAAGCTCCTCCGCGGGGGGGCCCACATCATCCGGCTCTACGACGTCTTTTACGAGGGCGACCACTGCTTCATGATCATGGAGGAAATGCGGGGGGGAGACCTCCTCTCGCGGATCTGCGACAAGGAGGTCTACACGGAACGGGAGGCCCGGGGGGTCTGCAAGATCCTCTTCGAGGCGGTACTCTACTGCCACCAGAAAAAGATTGCCCACCGGGACATCAAGCCCGAGAACCTGCTCATGGTGGTAAGTCTTGTGCATTGTGTTGCGTTGTGTTGTGTTGTGCCAAATGGTGCGGCGCCTTTTTTTCTCCCCGTTGTTTTCCCCCGCCGGTTTGTATGCTGCAACGAGGATTCGATTGCTGGCTGCAAGGATTGGAATGCGTGTTTTGCTTTGCTGTTTCTCACGAAACAATTTCGCGTTTCCCGCTACAAAGGAGGCCGACGACGACACGAGCATCAAGCTGGCCGATTTTGGATTTGCCAAGCGCGTCGTGGGGGAACTATCCCTCAGCACGCTGTGTGGCACCGCCCAATACGTCGCTCCCGAGATTCTAGACTTTCAGGTCGACGGATACGACGAGAGGTGCGACATGTGGTCCGTCGGCGTCGTGACCTATATCTTGCTGGGTGGCTATGCTCCCTTCGAGGGCGAACCCGACGAGCTGGCACAGTTCATCATCCGCGGGGACTACGAGTTTCACGACAAGTACTGGGCGGATATTTCCGAGTCGGCAAAGGACATGATCGCCAACATGCTGCAGGTCGATCCATGGAAGCGACTGACGGCCGTGGAGGCCCTGAGCTGCGAGTGGATGGGTTTGTCCCCGGAAGAACTGGCCTGCAAAGATTTGGGTGGCGCGAAGGAACAAATGGAGGAACAGGAGGACAGGAAGAAAAAGATGATGAGCAAGGAATCCATCGCCGGCAAAAAGGCCCTCCAGGCCCTCATCACCACCAACAAATTTCTCTCTCTGGGCCCCATGGTCGGCGGAGCCACGTCCAAGGATCCCGCCTCGGACCCGGACAAACTCGGTGTCGAAAAAGCAGCCGAATACGACTTTGAGGACTGCTACGACTGGGGCCGTCAGATCGGCGTGGGCACCTTCTCGGTTGTTCACGAGGCAATCCAGCTGGACGACGGAGACACCTATGCGGTCAAGAGAATCCCCCGCGTGGATTTGTGGGAAGACGACGCGGTGGCCTTGCAGAGCGAGATCATGTGTCTCCAGCAGGTTTCCGACTGCGAGTGCATCGTGCAACTCCGGGAGGTCTTTGACGAGACCGATTTCACGTACATGGTGCTAGAATTGCTGCCGGGTGGGTACCTGATCGACAAGATCATCGAAAAACACTTTTACGACGAGCGAAAGGGCCTCGTTGTGGCGAAGCGGCTGATCACGGCCATAGAATTCTGCCACTACCACCGCATTGCACTCCGAGACCTAAAGCCGGAAAACATCCTTCTCGTGGACGGAAGCGATACGGAAGTCAAGCTTTCTGATTTTGGCCACGCAAAAGTTGTCTACCAGCCAAATTCCCTGACCACGGTTTGTGGCACGGAGGGTTTTGTGGCTCCCGAAATCATCGAGCACAGCCCCCAATACGATGTCGAGTGCGACATTTGGAGCCTGGGTGTCGTCCTCTACATCCTATTGGGAGGATATAGGCCTTTTCGCGGGGAAGGCGAGGACTGCCTCGAAAAAATTCGGTACGGAAAATACCAGTTCCACAGGAAATACTGGTCTCACATTTCCGACGACACGAAGGACCTAATTGCGCAGATGCTGACGGTGGATGTGGGCCACAGGATCACGGCGGAAGAAGCACTGGACTGCGATCTGATCCGGGAAACACCGGACAGGGAACAACAAAGAAAACGCAGCGGCAAGAGCAAGAAAATCAAATACAAGAGCAGTAGCCACGCCAACGACAAATGGGGATGACTAGTGACATAATTCAAATATATATATATGGGAAAAGAAGTTTATCTGTCTTTTCTATGGTATATACCTCCTTTCTGTTGTCTCCTCCGCTTCGGCCCCTTTGTATTTGTCACAGAATGCGCGACTTCATCACCATTCCCCAAATCTTTCGGGATGACAACTGCTGGTTCTACGGTCAAYAGATTTTCCTTGCTGCCCAATAGACAGGTAGGAACATATGATGCCTTGTGACAGTCCACAAGCCAGCGACGGAATTCTTCGCGTTGGCTTTCATTATACGACTCCTGACCTCCATCCAACCGGCTTGTTTGAAGCAAAGCCGTATCCTTGTATGGCCGGAGGAAACGTTCTTCGGTCCACAATCCGAACATGAATGTGGGGAAAGTACAGCATCCAACAAGAACCGCACCTCCGAGGGATCCTTTCAATGCAAGCGTCACCGATGTCAAGATCTGGACCCAAAAAACGAGAAAGCAATCAATCAGTAAAAAAAGAACAAAATCCGCAGCAAAAAAGGAACTACCAATAATTCTTACCTGTGCCATGATCAATGAAGAAATTACTATTTGATGACAGAGTGGCCACATCTCTCCACCAGTATCGTATCTTGGTCTGTATACAAAGATTAAGAGCCACCGTAGCATCGGCTGAACTACAATAAAGTAGATGGTTGCAATAGGTGCAACTATCGGAACCATGGGCGATAGACCCACTATGCACAGCAAGACGATTCCAGAATCTACGTAGATGCGATAAGGAGTCGGACCCCCCGCGCCCCTGTAGCGGAAATCGTATTGGAATTACATGGGTGAGCGTCGCGACCAGTGAATAAAAAATAAAGCATGCTGCAGCTTCCAAAAGTGACATCTATTGCTTACCCTCCCCTTGCAACACGATTAAGACACGTCAAACCCGATATCTTCGTCAGGAACGTATTCATTTGGAAAAAGTAGCCTCCGGGCCAAATGAAGCCATAACGAATGATGATCCAATTCAGCCATTGCGGGGCAATGTGAGACGGGATCAACGTGGCGACCGTATTCACCGTTGACCAAAGGCTCTGCGTGATGTGTGTCACACCAGCTTTTTTCGCAAGTATCAAGAAAACAAACGGCGTTGAAATTAGAACAGATATCATTTGTGAAAGCAAGGAGGCATTGCAACATGACGTACCATGATAATACCATTGGATGAGCATTGTTGCGAGATATTGTCCAAAAAATGCGGTGATGAGCATGAAATACCACATGAAAAGTAGCGCTTTTCGTTCCGCCATTTCGAGACTACTTGATGTCCCTTCCGAGTACGCCACTAATTTGAAAATTTGTGGGAGCAGCGCCATGAACAAAGTGGTACACAGACCTGATGCAGGCCCTGCTAATGCACGGTACAAAACATTATCTGGATCATTAAGTGACCTGGAATTGGGGAAGAATTTTACCAACCATCGCGGATTCAACAACAAGGAAATGAAACTACGACAGGATGCGACGCCATTGACGTGAGATTTGAAAGATACGAAAGATCTGAATCTGGAGAAAGGATCCCGCGTCAACTTACGCTAACGGTATTGTGTAAAAACAGCAAAAGAAGAGCATGAAGAGATAAATACTAGAAAGAACGAATTGAGTGTTTTTCAAAGGTGAGCAAACGGAAAGAAATACAAAGTTTAGATGCGATTTTTGTTAGCTCAACAAGTGACTTACCTCCAACGCCGGCATTTCTTTTCCTTGTACTTCATGTTGATTGGACGAATAAAATAGAAACGAAAAATAAGACGGAGACTGTATGCCACAATAGTATTGTACACAGAAGATTGTCATGGCAGTCATGATTTGCTTACGTTTATTGTCAGTGTGACTGGTCGACTGAATAAACAATCGGGTTCGTCAAGAAAATAAGAAAGCGATTCCTGGTAAGTTGAAAGATACTTTTGCAAATTCTGTATCTGCTTAAATTAATTTCGTGAAAACCCTGAAACATCCGTTGCTAATATGTTTCGCTACCACTATAGTGGCGCGGAACAGGAGTACAATACAACTCGTAGATAACTTACCAGCATCCCCGGCAAAACAATATATTTCGCGGCGGGGCATCGGCGAGCGGTGGGATGGGGATCTCATCAATCTGCTGCCAGGAGTTATTCGCTCCTCCGTCCGCCAAGCACTGCCTCGCCGCAATAGCAGCCTGTCGCGATGAAAAGGTAACCACCGCGTACGACGGGTGATCTAGAGCAGTAACGAAGGCCCTACCAGCTCCTTTCATTTGTCCATAGTACTTGGGGAGGGAGTTGAGAGTTTCCTTGAAGCAGGGATTGTACCGGCCACCACATGATGCGAACGCTCTTGCGATGGGAGGCATTATCGGTTTGAAAACCACAGAAATTCGCTTGGGAAAGGTTGTCTGGGGGATGATCTCCTTCATGCTTTTGGCAACTTCCTTCGCTTTCTCCCATTGTTGGTGATTTGTTGTCACGGCAGCTCGATTCCGTAGCTTGCAGAGACGCGTTTTCCGAGACGATGGACTATCAARAAGAAYATCGCTATCGTTTGAAATGCTTTCATCGATGCCCTGAGAACCAACTGTTTGGTCGTCGTTGTCGAAAGCTGCAGACGATATCATCGTCGGCTCCACCTCGAAATCGTCGTCAAGTTTAATCACATTTTCTCGAGCCTCGATGAGTTCCTCGTTCAAGATCTTGATTTCGGCCCAAAGTGACTCTTCTATCTCTCTCAGTTCGTCCATGTCCAGGAATTTTAGCGAGTTCGGAAAGCAACCAAGTGGGCACGGACTGGAGGATGACTGTGCATACTCCCGGGCAAACACGCTCAATTCCTCTATGCCAAGTCCGTCCACAATATCGATGAGCTCGCTTTCTTCGCCGTGGGAAACAGTTTTGGCGTACTGCTTCACATCATAGTCTTCGTACTTGAATCCATGGGTGAGAGCACCGCAAAATTTACCACTGCTGCTACGCGAGATGTCTCGACGATCCAATGAAGAGTTCATGCTCTGATCTAACTCGAGGGACTGTGATCCCTTCGTCTCAATGTCAGTGGCGGAGTCATCGCCAACAAAACTCCCCTCCAAAAATTCTTCGGAGTCGTGCTGTATGCGATCTCTATCATCGGCTATTGCTGCCTCGCCATCGCTTCGATTTCCCCCAAAGAAATTCTGCCAGAAACCGCCGTCGACGTCGCTGCCAGCCTTGTCCTCGTCACCTACCTCTTCACCGGCTGCAAAAGAAATACCAGATCCAAATGCTTCCAATGTTTCCGCATCACTCCCAGGGAGAGGGTTTGTTTCGACTGCCGGAGAGTTGTCCCGGCCGTTTTCATTGACGTGTGGAAAGGAACCCGGCGACACGAGGGGTATTTTTTCCTCTGTGTGCTCCCCCACAAGGCTCGTCATCTCAAGGGTCGTTGTGGTACTGTTCGTCTCCATGTTGCCTGATGGATCCATACTGCTGCCATTATTCTTCAACGCGGCGGATGCGGTCCGCGAGACTCGTCGATAGGCCCTCTGGGCGACCGTCTTCATGGAGTGGTTCGAGTTCTTGAGGGCCTGCTTGACGTCGTCATAAATATCCGTGGTGCCCTCTTCTAATTTTTGTTGCTTTTTGAGGAGTATCTTTCGTATGTACCGGACCATTCGCACCTTCTTTTCCATTCGGTACCACTTGGTCCAGCACTTGGCAACCCGCGCCGCGTCCGGAATGATGGTAGCGGCCACAACGCTCGATGTGTAGCCTGGCTGCGCCGGAACGCATTCGTTGAAGAAGCGGACCGTCGCCACCAGCTGCCGATCCATCTGCGTGGCCCCGTCCGTGTCAAACGTCAGTAGTGAAACCGGAAGCTGGTATAGGACGCTATAGAGGCTGACGTTGGGCGGAACCTCCCTCATTTCGGGGTGTGGGACAAAAGGCGGCCGCTTGGCGATGACTGGATCCTCTGGTTTGGTCTGCAGGTTGGCTATGTCGTCCAGTTCCTGCATGCGGTGTACGTAGTGATCGGATTCAAGAAAGTAGACCCTCCGCAGCGCCAGATTGTCGATCCATTCATGCCACAACAAGTCTGTTAATTGTTGTGATATTTTTGGGAGTTGCAAACACGCCATTATCAAAGGGTTTGCACAGGAGATTGCACATAGAATTGCATTTTCATTGTCGTGTATTTTGATTCCATGATGCACACCATGTAAGTTAGTTGTTGTGTTGGTAATGTTTGCATGCATTTCAATTGTTATCGAAGTCGACCGATCGGCATAAAAAGGAAGAAAAGTGAAAAAAACAGCAGCTAACCATTAGCAACTGAATTAAATACAAAATATGCAATTGCATGTTTCGAGAAGAAGGAATCATGATCACGCATGTGCCAACTCAAAATCCAAAGAATACGAATCAAAAGAATTTCATTCGACACTCAAACTACGCAGAGTGATTCGATTCGAAACTTACAGCACGTGTATGCGTAGATCAGGACCGAGCACACCGCGGTCGTCAGGTGCCTCCACGAGATTCCCGGCACCCACTTGGAGTTCGCGGTGTGCTGCGTCGCGATGGGTTCCGGGGGGATGATGATGTTTCCGTCCTCGTCGATGAGCTGCGGCTTGTTGTTGTTGTTGCGGAGGAAGGCCTGTGTCGGGGCAGCGGTGCCGCTGCTCTTTGATCTGAGAAAGCCAAGCCTGCTACCGGAGGCCTTGGCGGAGTCCGTGCCGTCTTCGTCGTTGTTGCCCTCCCTCTCCTCCTCCTCGTCCCACCAATTGTTGTTGGTGGCATTGCTCGGCAGGGAACCCTCGGTGCTGATCCGGACCTCCGGAACGTAGGAAATTGTCAGGTTCTCAAAGTCCGTCAGGCTCGCTAGCCGCTGGCACTCCCGTTCTCCCACTACCAGGGGGTCGCAGACGCTAGAAGTGTAGACHGGGAGCAATATTCCGCAGGCCAGGAGTGAGGCAAAAATCCCGATCTTGAAGAGCATCTTGTGGAACTTGAGCAGGATGATCCCGTCGAGATTCATCTTCATGGTCGGCCCGCTCCAGCCATCGTCCCGGGTTCCCGTTCCGGGGATGCCCTCCATCGCCTGGGGATAACTGAGCCGGGCGGCCCATATGCACCATGTAAAGGGGTAGAAGTTGATGCACCCGAAGATTTTGTGCCTCTTTAAGACGTTCTTCAGGACGTTCCGCGGCCTGTTCCAGGCCTTGGGGGTCAACTGGGAATTCCATTCGAACTTGATAGCAATGCCGAAGAGGCAAAGGAAGAAAATTCCGCACGCCCCCCACGTGATATTGGACCACAGGATTTGGTTCAGCTGGGCCATGCTTGTTTTGTTTTGTTTTGTTGTGTGGGTGGGTGGGTGTTTGTGTTTGATCGTCTGTATCTCTGTATGCGTAAGTTTGTGTGTTTGTGCTGTGGACGTCTATGGGTCTTTTGTGTGTATCTGTCGTAAATGTTTGCGCAGATCTTTATCAATCGGGGGTCGGGATGCCGGTTGCGATGGTTGCTGTTATGCTTTTGGAGTCACGCAAGGATGGGTAGCAGTAGCACAGGCAGAACAACTCGTCGATCCAGCATCCATTTCAATGGGTCTGTTTGACTTTGTTCGGTTCGGTCAGATTTGATCAAATTGTATTCGTCACGCGTCTATCTGCCCCGATTGCGATTCAGTGAAAGAAGGAAGATATCGATCGACCGATTAATCGATCAAATTGCCTTCGACAAGCCAAACAGATTCAGGCAGGAAGGAGTTTTCTGAAAAACCGTTTGTGATGATGATGGCATTCAAGAGTTTTAATACCCTTTCTCGTACGTAGTACTCGTACAGGTACTTGTACTCATAACTTACCGTACGTTTCTCACTCGTGCTCCTACTGTTGCGCAGTTTGTCGCACAGATTTTTTCTCTTACAACGCAACGATAGCGCAGAGGAAATGTCGTGTACACGCGCTTGTACTTGTTGTACATGCTGTAACGGTCGCTATTACGGTACGACCCCGCCCTCTGACAAGGCTAAGGTCCTTGGGCAATGAGCAAGGGCATAGCGTACCGGTACGTATTAATGTACGGTACCGTAGTGCAAAGTGTAACGCCATAAAAGTATTTTGGTGCCAAAATATGTTACATACATGAAGTACGTATGTACGAATTACATATTGTGACRCTCAGTCACGAGTATCTCGTGAAAAATCTCACTCTTTATTGTAAACACGTTCGTACTGTAAAGTACGTTAGGTACGAGTATGACACTAGAGAACATACGTAATCATACACGTACCGGACGGTTGGTACATACTGCACATACGACACAAAAGAGCATACGTTTCACACATATGATAGAGAACGGAATCAATGATCAATTGTCATACGGTACCGTAGGTCATAACCGGGACCACCAAAATATGTTACATACATATAACATGTACATATGGTAGAGAACGAAATCAATGATCAATGGTCATACGGTATCGTACCCGAATATGTGGTAGGTAATACTCGGTACTCGTACGGGGCTGGTAGAGGATAGCACAGAATAGTGCCATGCAACATACAGGTACCACTATGACTACGTATGAGCACGTAGAATGAGTACGTAAGGTACAAGTAAGTTCGTACCTCGCCGCGTTATCATAGTGTATTTTCATGAGTTAAAAAAAAATGATAATTTTTATTCACACGCATTTTAGTCTCCAGAACTGATTCTACATGTTGTACATGGTCATTGCACTGTCATTGCTTCAATCCAATTCGAAAATTGTTTCAATCCAACTCGAAAATTGTTAAGTAAGTGGGGGACGTTCTTTTAGGACCACCCAAAGAGGTGCACTTGGGGGCAGTAGTACGGTTCTCACGTAATCGAGAACTCATTTCTCGTACTTGAACAAGTTGCTATGAAGAACAATGGAAGTCAGAAGACCCATTGAGGATCTTATGCATTTYACGGAACTCCAAAATTCTAAAATAGAATAGTTCTTAGCCATTATTAATGTGAGGCAACCTAAGAATTTCTTGGTTTGGCATTTATTCGTCGCGTGCCATGGAGAACCTGAGTAGAAACGTTGTTCTTAACTATTGCCTACACTGAAGACATCGAACGATACATACCAGGTTCTGCTTTTGTACTTGTAACARGGGGTATAAAGAGGCCAGATTGGCTTAATGTTTAGTGGCGGCAAGATATGATGTGATTTTGTTAATTGCAAACAAGAATCGATACCTTAAGAAATGTTCGGTACTCGTACCGGTACGCATGATGGATTTCGAACGAAAGGTTCCCGCCCTTCTGCAATCCAGTGAGGAGAGCAGCGTCCACTTGTTTGCTTCTTGGTGCAAATCCAAGCACTACGAAGATCATAGTTCTTCATCGTTCCTTGGTTTCGTGACRAGCTATTTTCAGAACAAATCTTTTGTGACCTCCTCCATCATTCTGAATAGGGGAATAGGAACACATTTCTCACAAATCAGTTTGCTTCATCGCATATCGCAATAGTTTCTATTTCGAAAATGATTATCGTTCGATCGAACGCTAGAGCATCAAAAAATACTACTGGAGGTGTATCGGTAGCGGTGATAGGTAGAGCATCAAAAAATACCGCTGGAAATGTATCGGTAGCGATGATGGGTAGAGGACAAAAGAAATGGCGTTTTTCCTCGACAATTGCCATGGGCTTTTTAATGATTGGCCTGTCTTTCAACCTTTACATCACGTTTTTCATCGCCAAACATCAACGGGCATCTTCAAACTGGAAGGGAACACCGTCTTATTACGATTCCAAGGTAATCACGTCGATGATGGGCAAAACCTCCACCACAGAAGTCACTCTGTACTGCAAGCAACAGCAGAAGTTACCCAATCAACGACGGCTACAGAAACCCAAGGCAATCGTCCACGTCGGACCACACAAGACGGGGTCGACCACTCTCCAGACGAATGCAAGGTTTCTGCAACCCATGGACCACTACCTCGTCCCGGAGCTCCCGGTGTTTTATAACAAACATTCGGTGGGCGAGGCAAAAAATACGGCCCACCTCGCGTCCTGCATGAATCCAAATCGACGCTCCGAATCTCACCTTCTGTGCACCCCGGACATCGAAAACTCTGTCTTGGCCGCGTTTGAGATCTTTTTGCACGAGGCGCACTGCCAATCCAAAAACATCCTGCTGCTTTCGGAGGAGTTTGATCGGCAAAAAACAGACATTGCCAGGTTGAAATCCTTACTAGAGCCCCGGTTCGATGTCGAAATCGTAGTAAACTACCGCCCATACCACACCTGGATCGCCTCGCTGCACAACGAGCTTTTCAAGACAGCGGCGAAACAAGGGATTAAAGACGGAATCACCGAACCCTATCCTACGATCGTGGAGTGGGTCAAGTTTAGCGAAACCATGTCCTACTGGGAGAAGCATCACACAGCTTCTGTCTACAAGCGATTCAAAGAACACTTTTCAACCGTGAAGGTCATTGATATGAATCACCTCAAGACCACTGGTGTTTCGCTGGAGGAAGCCTTCTATTGCAACGAGATTCCCAACGCACCGATCACTTGTGAAAAGATACGGAACGTAACAGCAACCAAGAGTAAAAAGAAGAGGAGACAAAACCAAAGCGAGTCCCTTACCGTCTACGATTTGATTGGCCAGATCCGCCAAAAGAAATATTTCCGAAAAATCACACCGCCAATTATAGAGATTATTCAAAACCAGACAGCAAAACTCCTCAGTCTTGAGCAGGAATTGCCACCTCAAGACAGAATCAGCTTGGTTCCCAGAAGCTGTCTGCACACTATCCATCTGGACGCTTTGCTCGCGCTGTCGATACAAAAAGAAACGGAACTTAATGAGGAGCTTGAGAAGTTTCGGCAGCGGTCCAACTATGGCTTCCACTTCGATCCACCCACTGTAGACGAATTGTCCGAGGCACTGACCGAGGATTTCTTCGAAAGTGCGCATGAGCTGTTTTGTCCCGTAAACTCTGTATTGGTCCTCAAACGGTGGGAGACCGAAAAGTGGTTCCAAATGCTTTTGTTGCAAGAAGAGAACCGCAAAGAGCAGGCGCGTTTAATTGCAGAAAAAGAGAGGGAAAGAAAAGAGGCGACACAGAAAATGGATTGGAAATCGATATTAAAGAAAGCAGTTGCAGCGCAGCCATTCGCATCAACTCAAGAAGAAGTGCAGCAGAATGGAGTGCCGCTGAAAGAATCATATCCGAAATCAGGACTACCAGCACACATTCTGCCAGAAATACCGATTCCGAAATTAGGACCACCAAAAGCACCTCAAAATCCTCTGCCTAAAGCTCCTCAGCCAAAAGCACCGATTCCGAGATTAGGTCAACCAAAGGCTCAGGTACCTCAACCCAAAAAGCCACCGATTCCGGAATTTGGACAACCAAAGGCTCAGATACCTCAACCAAAGAATCCTCTGCCTGAAGCTCCTCGGCCAAAAGCACCGATTCCGAGATTAGGTCAACCAAAGGCTCAGGTACCTCAACCCAAAAAYCCACCGATTCCGGAATTTGGACAACCAAAGGCTCAGATACCTCAACCAAAAAATAAAAATCCTATACCTGAAGCTCCTCAGCCAAAAGCACCGATTCCGAAACTTGGACAACCAAAAGCAGAGTAGTAGCAGCGCCGCTATTCGCATCAACCCAAGAAGTAGTGCAGCAGAATGGAGTGCCACTAAACGAATAATATTCTAAATCAGGACTACCAGAACAAATTATGCAAGAGGCACCAATTCCGAAGTCAGGACCACCACAAGTACCTCAAAATCCTTTATCTGAAGCTACTCAGCCGAACGGAGAAATTCCAAAATTTGGAGAGCGAAGTGCGTTTAGTCGCACCCGCTGGTTTTGGTTTCTGCAGGACTGCGGAGTATGCTTTTTTGGAGTTGCTTACACAGTTATCCGACGACCGCGCTGTTCCAAATATCCATCGGGATACGACAGGTGTTGATTCCTGTTATTCTATATTTTCTGAAGTTGAAAATTTGAAATTCTAGATCAAAGACGTCATTTCAAATAGGTAAAGATCAGGCGAACTGCTAGATTCAATAGACTTCTGTAATGAGTATCAAAATGTAAGCGAATGATTTTTCCCATACCAACTGCAAGATTGTCAAATGGTAGCGAATAGTGGCGACATAAAGCGCAGTGTTGCACTTGAATATCCTTGATCTCGTAGAATTGTACACTATTAAATTTATTGCTATTGTCAATGCTATTGATACAGTTAGCACGCATATTGATTTTGTACCAAAATTATTGTTGGTCAATTTTGTTTGGTGCCGTTTCTTCATGTCGACGGAGGCACTCGTTGTGGGTCTTCTTGGAAGGCCGGGCCCTGGAGGCCGATGCAGTACGCTGTTTCCGTGGCGTCGGCTTTCTCGTCGTCTGAATCGCCATCGAATACGAAATCGGCAAAGGCACCAGCGGCATTCGTTCCGTCAAATATGTTGAAGCTTATTGTACGGCTACCCAAAGATTTCTTGCTGCTGTGTGAAGTGGCCAAAGGGGATCCGGGCTCGCCCGCCCCGACGATATCCTGACTTCGGAAGATGTTGTGGGTTTTGGGGGAGGTTGCCACGGTTGGCCTGCCACTCCTCCCGGGCCGTTGTGGCCCCTTGTCCTCAGCCACCGTGTTCATTTTTCGGGTGGCGGACATCGATGAGATGCTAATGTCAAAGGAAAAACAGAGATAGAAAAGCAGGATCCATAGTCCAAAGAGCCCAGCATTGCTGGTCGACAGCACCGCAAAGACAAAGAAAGCAATGGGCTCCGTGCTGTAGCCCGTCGTGGAAAGGGAAGACCACAACTGCTGCACCAGAAAGGGAAGAACGATCCAGTACACCGAAAGAAGGTATAGAGCAGACTGTTTTGCCACATCAGCAGAGGCGATCCGCACCGTGGCCTGGTGCTTCCTTGTTTGGAAATAGAGGGCGATCATGATAGCTGTCGGACAGAGCAAGATCAGCAGCTGTGGAACGATCCAGAACATATTGAGCGCTTTCCATTCCTCCACCGATGGACCCCGCTCGCAAGGCACCCCCGACTCGGGATTGTTGCAGGCCAGGGGATCGCTGACTGTGAGGCAATACCCCAGCCCCACGTTGTTGAAAGCCTCGATGCCCACCAGGTACCCAGCAGAGGCGATCGGGAAAACGTGAACTCCTGCGTGAATCCATTTCTCCGCCACTAGAAGCCTCCTTTTATCGCAGAAGTTGTTGGGAACCCCGAGCAAGCTATAAAGCGAGAGGCAGACATAGTAGAAGAAAACCGAGTGAAAGCTCACGTACAGCAGAACTCCCTGTACCGTGCACGTTGCCACAGTCCCGTAATTCCCAACAGCGTCGCTGGCATCGCTAGGGATCGCGGCGGCTCCCCAGATCAAGCAAACCCCTGAGACAATGAGGTGAATTGAGATTCCTAGACATTGGAATGCCATGATGTAAGGAATAATGAAATAGACAAACCAATAAATAAACGATAGATTTGTCTATTGTTGGAAAAGCAGGATGCATTGTCCTCATCGCGATTTTGAGGTGTTGTGTTGAGCTGCTTACTGCTTACCTAAAACGAGGCGGTGAAACACGTAGGCCCGTCGCCTCCAAGACAATCCGAGTATAAAGATTGAGCACAGAAACGTCACCGATCCAATCAAACGGGGAACCCACAAATCGACTTTATCCCGTATTATGTCTCCTTCTACGGCGTCATTGCCCTCACCTTCTTCTTCCGCGGCCATCATCCTTATTCGCGCTTTTGCTTTTGGATTGTCGGAAGGATTACGGTGACTGCGATGGTTTTGGTAATGATAAAATGTAACAGATAATAGCAATTTTGCTGCTATTGATTCCAATTTAAAGTAGGTCCTCACGAAACAGGTCGAAAGACGCGTTGTTCTTTCGGTCTATTCTGATAAACTTTCGGGCTATTCAATTTGTGTGAGGCTTCATGTTGACGAACAGATTGACGAACAGACATCGCGCGATCAAATGTCTAGTACACGTGTTGAGTACGAAGTACTCTTTTCGGTCCGAATTACGACGTGACAGCTTTTTAATGGTAGGGATTCTACAGGACTCTACGTGAGTAAGGATTACAACACTTGTCTTGTGAGCGCGATTGGTTGGATATTGATGAAGAACTAAAGAGGTGACAGCTTGCTATGCTGGAGGTCTTGTTAATTTTTTTCTAAAAATTTTCGGTGTGCAGAGAAATCAAGAAGCCCGAAAAGGTTTTCCAAAAAAAAAACACCCTGCAATGTGCACATCTAGTATGTGAAGAGAAAAGAAAACCCTTTCCGACTGATGGAGGATTCTCTAATTCTGATTGGTTCTTTTGCGATTTTTAACAAGCAAGCAAAGTTAGCAAAAAACTGGCGCGTTTTATGTACTCATAACCTGTTAGGAATCGATAGTCTTACTTCCAACTCAAACAAGTACTGGTCCAAGGACCCTACTAGTACTACTAGTACTAGTAGTAGTACCTTTAGCGTCACAATCAAACCCAACATGAGTACAGACTCGGGGGACTGGGTCACAGCAGCTGTTAACACCAATAAACGACCTCAGGGCCAATTAAGAAAAAGACTGGAGATGGAACAATTAACAAGTTCACCAGGCACAGCAAGAAAGGTGATCTGGAAGGAGGAGTTGTCCTGACAGAGGAAGATGGAAACACCACACAGTTCAAGAATGGGATCAATCAATACAACAGCAGTGAAGGTTACAGACATGGAAGAGGACCCAGAAGTTGCAGTGATCCCTGCAGAGGTGGAGAATGGTAACAGCAAGAACAGTAGCAGTAGTGACAACCAGCAGTGAGGACCCTTGGCACCTTTATCCTCCAGCATGCTCCATATTCAGTGCCTGCATCCACCATATCCAAGGTCCTCCTCTGTATTTAGCATCTTCCTCCATATCCAACATCCTCCTCTGTATTCAGCATCCCCATCTGTATCCAGCCTCCATATTACATCCTTGGTATTCAGCACGGATATCCTTACTAGTAGTATCCAGCTTCACATGGTGATGGAGGCAGGCACATGTATCCATCATCCTCCATATTCAGCCTCTGCACCCATGTTGGCCATATCCAGCCTCCATATACATCTGTATCAGCAACTCCTAGTATCATTAGTAATGCTCCATAAAGTATTTGGATATTAAATAATTTCTTTTTTAATTTGGGACAGGTTTAAGATGTGGTTGTCATTGTATAGCGTTTGCGGAGTTATTCCAGCCCACTGAATCGTACATTAGGAATCCTCAATACATAGCTACATGTATGTTGATAAATATTTATTGGACGCCCTACTCCCCCACCACATTCAAAAGCTCTTTGAATTCTCTTTTTAACCATGTGCTTTCTATACTTACTAAGCGTCCGTTGGGAAAAAAGTCATAGCTGTTTGAGTGAGTTGAACCTCTCTTAATGCCCTACGTGTTTTTTGTACTGTGTGTTAATTTTTGGCTATCTTTTTACTGTGTAATGACTACTTTGACTAAGCAAGAACTTGCATGTTTTCAAAGCCAAAATTGTCGGTTGAGCACGTGTGCACAAAACTATTTGGTTGCACACTTCTTGTGGGACTTAAAAATTAACAATACTGCTGAGCATGTGCATTTTGTATGTTTTAGTCAAATTAGTCATTAGATGGAAGTAAGTAGCCCAAAATGTACGACTGGTGCATACAGTTGGGCGCCAACTCTATACGATATATTGCACTGTTCCACACGTAGTAGGCCACCATGTAGAAATCCTACTGCTGAAAAGCTGGTGTCTTGCAATATTAAGCACCAGTACCTTGTAATATAGTTGGTTCTGGCAGTTCCTTGTAACTTGGTTCTTTACTACTACTACTACTACTACTACTAAAACAAGTTCTCTAGTGGTGACCTCCTTTTCAAACCTTACTAGTTGCCCAATATCAATGACAAGAAGAATGCCTTTTTTTAAACAAATTAGCTTTTGTAGTAGTAGCACCAATACTAGGAGTACTGGTACTAAAAGAATTTTAACAAGAAGAACTGGATATATGTGCTAACAAGTCTGTTTTGAGTATCAATCTTTGTTACAAGTTACTTACTACTCCATTCCCCAAAAAATGTTGCTTTAGCACCACCTCTTTGAGTGAAATAAGCTCAATATCTGGTGGGCAACAATTAGACTATCATTTCTCTTCTTGTTGCTTTTTGTATCRTACTCATCTCATCTACCTAATAGTAGTAATTCCTTTGTTATTTGTTGCATTTGTACTACTAKCATTAGTGGTGCTGGGCAATTACTGAGATTACTAGAATAAGCTTGCATTCAAACAGAGCAATTTCTTTTACCATTACTTCTATAAATTTTATTTTAGTAAAGGTTGAAAAGTGAAAGGAATAGATGTGCTAAATCTAAGGGTTTTATAGCCATTCTATAATAACAGGAATGGCCCAATGCAGTGTATTTTCATGTATGAAAAATAAAATAATTCTAATTTTCAATCAAGTCCATGCACATTTCCAGTCTGTTATGCTGATTATGTTCTACACAGTCATGTTATTTAAGTGCAACGGATACGTACGTACTGTATTGAAAGGATACGTACGTACT